TTATTTTTCTTACCATTGTTACCTTTCATTTGCAGCCCACTGTAGAAAACCTTGTTAAAGTAACTCCTCTGTTAAAATGCTGTTGATTGCTTGTCTAGCCAAACAAATTAGGGCTACCTAGCACTAAAAGATGCTCAGCTATCATGGTGATGCCTACAATATGGATATTTCAGTAGAATACAATGTAAGCAAAGTGTTTGTATGATTTGTACAATAATAGTATACTTCTTATGAGAGATTATAACATGGGAAGGGAGAAAACATATGTAAAAAGCATGAGTTCATCATCTTACCTCTTTGCTACAGTTCTCTTTTCAAGTCTTTCTGGAAAGCACTACACAAAAGGTAAAACTTTCAAAAACACACAAATGACTTAGTAACCAAAGTCCAATTTTCAGTTTGACACTCAGCGCTTTTGAAATGTCATGTTTATACACGTTATGTTGCTCAGAGAGTCAAAGACAGGGCTATATTATACAAAAGTTCTGTAACTGCTTCCAGTTACCTTTGAAGAGAGAATACCACACAATTGCTTAGTAAACAGATTTTATTTTACCTTTAATACAAACAAGAAGAAATATATTTTAAACAATATTTGAGAATATTCTCAAATAACTTTAACACTAAAAGCTATTGCATAGGAAGAATATACTGGGAAACTTATACAAACATTTACAAACACTTTCTGCTCTTATTAAAATATAGGATTTTAGCGAAACATCTATACTCTACTTTAGCAAAGATGTGTTTGCATTATGCCTCAGAACACCCCAGGGGTGTGTGTGTGTGTGTGTGTGTGTAAAATCACTAGCTAATGCACCTGGATGGTATTATTGCACTTGTAAAACTAGATTATTGGCAACACTTTTTAAATAGCAATTTATTAGATTGATGTGGCCAAAACTCCAAAATATTAATACTAGTTAGGACATTACCAACATTATTTTTAAAAAAAAGTTAAGGGAGGAGACAGAAAACAAAATGTACTGAGCAGTTATTTACAGCTCAGTGGAAAGCAGTGTGAATCTAAGGTGAATCTGCTGCTTTCCATCACCACTGAAGGATGATAGCTCAGCCAGGAGGGGAAGGGTCTTGGGCAGTCAAGAGAATGGGTAGTGAGGAGCGGGTCAGACAGGCTGAGTGCCAGGGCCCTGGCAGTGGGCGGTTTTTGGAGGAGTGCACATTAGAACCTACTCGTTGGTAGCACCTGGAGGCCCATCAGTTGAAGCACTTCAAAAACTTCCCTGAATACTTACACATTTGGTGTTCTACCAAAGGTCGGTGAGCACAGCACTCCAGTGACCCCAGAAGTTGGGGTTGGAGGGGGTGAGAATAAAGGAATAAAGTGAGATAGAAAGGTGGGAGCTGTTACAAGAATGCATTGTAAAAGAGACATCTTCATATATGTATAATAATGACCATCACTTGTATTTGAGTATGAATATTACTGGAAATCAGTTTCCACATGTAGGGTCCAGAAAACGTGCCAGGCAAGTTAGTATCTGTTTCCTCCTGCTGTTAGCCAAGATGGTAGGATGATATTCTGTTGCTTCTTCTGCTTCCTTCATAGCTGAGTGTCAAGCTCATCTGTCATGTGCTGTGTCTTCCCAGGTCATTAAGTCTAATCCGGCAGTCGTTACATGCCACTTGATGCAATCCTTGTAGCAGAATTTGAGACAGGCAACCTTCCCACTGCCTTTTTTCAAATTCATTGTACAGAACTCTCTTAGGCAGTTGATTGTTATAAGTATGAGGTGGCTGTCCCAGATCATTTGCCTCTGTGCTAGCATGGCTTCCACCCTTAGAATGGCTGCCAGATGAAGTATTACATTGTTGGTGATTTTGCCAGACTATTTGATTTCCATTATATTGTGTAGATGTTGTTGTTGCAGGCAATTAAGTTTTTGGATATGGAGACGATAAAGGGGACTGGTCTTTAACAAGTATAGAAGACAAGGGAGCACAACTGCTCTCTAATGTAGGAGCAAGCACTCAACCCTGTTTAACTCCATAAGCTACAGGAAAGGGATCAGATGGGTCTGCACCCACTGATACATGGCCCTGCATGTTGTCGTGGAGTAGCATATAAGATTGATTAGTTTGTTTGGGCAGCCAAACTTTTCAAGACCGCACCAGAGAGCAGAGCATCCGTCAGTGTCAAACGCCTTACTAGGGTCAACAAAGGCAATGTAAGGGAATATTTGTTGTTCAGCAGCTTTCTCCTGTAACTGGCATAGGATAAATATCCTGTCGGCAGTGCTGCATGATAAACAAAAACCCTGGGATTCAGGGAGTACATCATCTGCAATAACCTGAAGCCTTTTCAGCAACATCTCACCAAAGATCTTATCACAGATGGAGAGGAGCGAAATGCCATAATAATTGCCACAGTCATGTCTGTCCCCTTTTTGCTTGCAAATTGTTACAGTTTTGGCATCTTTGAAATGCTGGAGTAAAATATTGTTTTTGCAGTGGAAAGCAAATAGGTCTAGCAAATCTTTGTGAAGTGTAGGACCACTGTGTTTTAGCACTTCAGCTGGGATTTCATCAGCTTCAGCTGCCTTTCTGCCATTTCCATAAGTGCATTCTTAGTCTCCTCCAAAAATGGTGGATCTTCTAGTTCAAACCAAACTGTTCTTTGCTTGATTGAGTCTACTATTTGATCATTTGTGCTCAACTTATGATTTGAGGAGAGTTGCAAAAGGTTCTTTCCAACTTTGTAGTATCCTATTGTACTCACTCAGGGGGTGATGATGTGATTGGACAGTTACGGGCTGCTCTTTGTCCTCAAGAGAAGAGGGGTTGTTCAGTTTAACTTGATGCATGGCTTAATGGGCCACAAGGAGTGCTTGAATTTCACTGTCATTCACCTCAAACCAGTCCACATTTTGTCAAGTTGGGACACCAAGGCCTTCTTTAGCTGTTGGTCGCAGTGCAGTTCAAAAGTTGTGCCACCTTTCATTGACAGTTCTGTTACTCTTCCATTGACATAATTTAATAGTGCAGCATGAATGGAAGTTGCTAACTGGGTTCTCCCCTCTTCTGTTCGAAGCTTTGAGACAACAGCATGTTGGTTCGGTTTTGGGGCAGTTTTCAATCTAGGACTGTGAATCCTGATGATCAGTTTAGTACAGCTAAGCTGATGAACCATAAAGCATTCTGTACCTCACATAGCTTTGGTAATGTAAACATCCCTCAGGTCATTACAACGAGTGATGACCTAGTCAAAAAGATGGCATCGTTTTGACCAAGGGTGTCTCCAAAAATAGAACCACTTTTCTGGCATGTTGAAAAAGGTGTTTGTAACAGCAAGGTCAAACTCTGTGCAGAGTGTTAGGAGTAATTCTTCATTTGTATTTATAGATCCACATTCAAATTTCCCCATGACTCTGTTCCAAGTGGTGTAATCATCTCCAGTGCGAGCATTGAAGTCAGTCAGTAATAAGTTTTGGTCATTGTTGGGTGTGTTTCTTAGAGTATCACTCAACTGGCTGTAGAACTTTCTTTGGGAGCAAGTAGTGTTGCAGTGTAGGTGCTTACTTTCAAAAAATGTGTTGTGGGACTGTAGCATCCACAAAGTCATTAGGTGCTTGGATATTGACAGAGGTTGCTGCACTAGTCTATCAGTGATGGAGATTGCTATTGCGAGACCTACACCATGTAGGCTGGTGTTTTGATCTGCCTTGTAACCTGACCAGTAGAAAGTGTATTCTTTTTCTCTAAATATACTGCTATTGTGTAGTCTAGTCTCATATAAGGCAGAGATATCTATTTGATACCTGTTTAGCACTTTCATTACTAATGCAGATCTTCTGCAGTTTCAATTTTCCTTTGAGTCAAATAGTGTGCAAATGTTCCAGCTTAAGTGTGACAGTTCCTGACCTTTTCTGTGATTTTTTTTTTCTCCCACTTAAAATGGAGATCTTTCTGATCGTGGGAAACCAGCCAGGAGTCAGTGAGAGGAGAGTCTTTTTTTTAACCCTACCTTTATAGGGGTCACCTCAGATTGAGGCAGGTGGGGCCTCCCTGAATAGGGCCAACTGGTTGGCTAAGTAGAACTAATGTTCCTGTCATTGGGTGAGAGTTATGTTACCATCACACCTAGGCTGCTCATGTGCAGAGCATTGGCTACCAGCTTCCAGCTTCTCAGGCCTCTCGGCACCACCTAGGAAACTCACACCAGGAGTCTTTTGCGAGAGGTCAGTGAATTATGATGGTGAGTACTGGGAGGGTGGAAACTGTTGGTGCCAGTAGATTGTCCATGAAGAATAGTTGAACATGCAACCTGTCGTGAGTAATAGCAGGATGCATGCTCTGGGACACCGCAACCTTTACCCAATGGAGAGCCAAGGGTTGACTGGAGGATGCTGAGTCTACCCCACAGTGCCTGCTAATTTGGCTATGTGGCCAAAGAGGGCCCTCCACCAGGCTCCTGGGGCTTGTTGCTGTTGATCCATATTAAGATTTTTCTAGCCATTTGAGTCCTAACCATTCACCATGTTGCCAACAAAAGTTGTTCACGTACATTCACCATTCCCAGATCCAGATGCTGGACTTTTAGCCCACATGAAGACCTATAGAAAAGGGTGAGTGGCCTCTGGGATCAGGCTCTGCAGCGGGCGATTTTCCCTACCTCTGTATATATGTAAACAGTTAATTTATAGATAGGATGACAGTAGATGGGGCTCAAAAAGATGAAGCATCCATCCTGAGTGTTGTGGGACCAATACTTATTGTTGCTCAGTGTCTCAGACAAGAATGAGAATGAGTTTTGCTCCAGTCACAGGCCCCATCACTGCATATTATGTAAGACACACTGGCAAGTTATTGGTCTCTTCATCTGTATTGCTCAACAGGTTATGAAGAATTGTCCTAAATAAGCAGGCCTAGTAGCCACCTCCTGGTTATTAAATTTTGTGGTGATCTTATTTTCTTTCTCTGTCATTGAAGAACCAAAAACACTGTGTAGAGTCAAGCACAGGAGTTTATTACACACAGCACTGGTGGAGCGTCACCTTGCTTATCAGGCTCAGAGACACTGCAGAACAATTAATTACAATAGATTATATAGGGAAGCGATGCGGATGGGTTTCCCAAGCCCCTGGATAGGTTCTAGCAGCAAAACAAGATAAGCACAATAAGCCAGTGGTCTAAAAGATTACATAATGGCTCTGCCCAAGGCTCAAATTAACATATTGCTGACACACACAGGTAATTACCCCCAAACGATGTCTATTGAAGTGTGTAGGTTAAATCCTAATTTTGGGGTCCAGGGGAATGAGGTAGCAGTTCTCCCAGTTGACTAACAGGTACATTCCTGGAGATTTAAAGCAAAAAAGCAGTAATTAGTACTTAACAATAACAATTGTTTGTAAATTTACCCTTGCATTTCTGTGGGTTAGGATTGGCATACATCTGTGAGGGGAGGGTGTCATAACTCATGTCAATCATATTAGGCCCCACCCCGAACTCTGTCTGGGATCTGAGGGGTATTGTACCACTATCTCCTCCCTGCATTAGGGAGTAACCATGAGGCCTTTCTCAGCGCTTCATGTGTCTATAACTCGCTCTAAGGATCCAGTTACGTTCGGCATTTTGCTGACTCCACTCACTGACTTGAAACACATAAGCTTATCTGCTTACCCCAGCTTTCTCTTAGCTATGTATTGTTCTTTGTTAGCTAGTCCTCATCCAGGCCTATATGAAAAGTTCTTAGCAGAAACTGTAGTTAAGATCTTACATCCACAGCAAATGGATTTTGGCCCTTCAGTCATAGACTGTCTCTTTAAAAAAAAACAAAATAAAAATCCTAATTCTTGCTTCATCATTGCAAAATGAATTAAATGGAGAAATGATTGAACTTGAGCTTTTCATTTGACCCTGGATGAAAAATACTTATTTTAAAAGCAGACTTAAAATTTGTATGTTTTTTTTTTAATTGAAGCACCTGATAATTGTAATCTGCATTGAAAGATATATCATTAGAAAACTGCAGTGAGTACTGTGGCACTTGGCATCTAGATGCTGCTATAATGGGTGCATTACAAATGCTTATGACCGACCATTAAATATGATAAAGCCAGATTACCATATTCTCTCCTTGTTCCTGGTCCTTTTGGCTTCTCTGGCAGTGCACAAAAGGTTGAAATACCATGATGTCTGACCAGCTGAGTATTATCCTACCGTGGATGAGTTCTCACAGTGTAAGCAGCTTGCTGGGAATTGGAAAGGACATGGTCAGAGTCCTACTGTCATCAATATGTGAGTGGTTCCTTTGGAATCATTGTCTGGCCATCCTTCCTACTGTCATCAATATGTGAGTGGTTCCTTTGGAATCATTGTCTGGCCATCCTTATTTAACTTTTGTTTGGATACCCTCCCTGGCTTACTCATTTCTCCAGGAGAAGCCAACCTAGCCAGAAGCTACTATGTAGAGGGTTGTAGGCTATGGAGGGATAGGGGATCCAGTGGACTACCTGCAATTTAAAGATAAACATTGTCAAGATCCGTTTAGCCAATTATTTTGGGGAAATCTGAAACAGTCAAATAAGTAAGATAGAGATTCTTGACATGGAGTGCAGTGGGTGCATTACTGCCCCTCCTAATTAACCAGAGTTCAGTATCACTTGGTCTGCCACATTCTCTGACAAGCTTCCTGCTTCTTTTGGTTTCACAGTGAAAATATTTTTCTCTTGGTCAGCAATGCTGAGCAGATCTATTTTTTGAAGTTGATCAATGCGGCTTGCAGATAAGTTGGCAGGAGCTGCTATTGAAGGCTCTTGCTCTCACACCAGTTGGCAGGATTTAAGTTTCCTGCTTGGCGCTGCACTAATGGCCACTGAGTGAGCTGAACATCATTTCTTTGTTTAATTAAAAACGTTCCCAGGAGCACTTCTCGGTTGCCCATACCCTCCTTTTAAGAAAATGTAGTATATTGTTTGTTGTTCCTATAATTTTAATTTCTTTAAATATGAAAAGAGAACATTTGTTTTTCTGTGCCATGTCAATAAAAAAAATCAGTGTTTATGAAGTACTTGGTTATAAGAAATTGTGAATATAATTAGACTGCTGGCTGATTTCTGAATGGTTTAAGATTCTGAATTTTTCCCATATATTTTCTTTAATTCTTTGTAGCTCAGCAAATGTCATTTACACTATATGTGTTGTCTGTGTGGTGTGGTTTTGGTTCTCCCTGCCCTCCAAAAAAATTTTTGGAATAGTTCCTAGAATCAGAATGAAGCAGATATAATGCACCCTCTGAAGCATTAAGACGTATGTACACTCTGCAAATGAATTAGCTTCTGAATACCAAGATACTTTAATTGCTTATTAACAGCATTTTAAACTCTGGCTAATGAATGCTCATTATATTCTCCAAAATCATTTTTCATTGTACAAAAAATGAAGTAATTGTCCACTGCCAGACCATTAAGAAGCCATTAGATATAGGTTTTAAATAGATCTCTCCTTCTGGAAAATTATTCAATTATCATTCTTTATGCAATATATTTTTAAAATGTAAGTTCTTAGAAAGGCTAGAGATTTGCCTTACTGAAGCTTTGCCTCTTATTTACTAAGGGCCAGATTGTTCTGGGGCCTAGGCAGGTGTAGTCAATAAGGGAAAGTACAAAAGCCCTTACCTGAGAGCCAGCATAATGACAGTCCCTGTTTTTGCTCTGAGTGCAGGGATGGTTCTCTCTCTTAGTACCTCTAGCAACGCAAGTCTTGGCCCCACTATTCTACAGGGCCAACCTGGAACAAAATAGGAAACACACAGAGCTCCTCTAGCGTAGTGTAGTTTCCCAATCGTTCCAGAGCAAGGTACTGCCTTAAAGGCACATTCTGGCACATGTTTAAAAACAAAACAAAAAAACTAGTAATGGTCCCCTGCACCTTAGTACTTACTGAGTTGGAAGATAACCATCTTACGGCAATTAAAAAATAGGAACATGAGAATTGTCAGACTGGAGTAGTCCTGTGGTCTGTTTAGTCCAGTATCCTGTCTCTGACAGTGGCCAGCCACTGATACTGCAGAGGGGGATACAAGAAGGTTAAAATAAATTGGAGTTGGGTGCCTAGCTACTTCTGAAAATCCCTCTGTGTCCATCTGTATCTTTAGATGCCCAAAACCCATCTAACCTTAAGTGTCTAAGTCATTTGGGTGTTTTGAAAATTTCACTCATAGTAGTTAGTTATAAAATCACACCTTTGTTTCCAGTGCACCCTTTCCTTATCCAGTGCACAGGATGGATAGCGGTCAGGGAATGAACGAGGGCCATGTGGTAAGCGAGGTAATTGTCTATAAGATATTGTCCTTATTTGTTGAAGCAGTTGGAAGCTGTGTAGTGAATGAGGCAGGCAACATCTGAAAAGATTTGAGAGTTAAAGTTACTATGCTCTTGTCACTAAAATGAAGAGTTAAATGCAAATATGTCAAGTAATTACTGTATGCTATTAGAGAGCCCATGTTCTTGGGGATTGGTGTTGGCATTAGGAACCAAACCTAGGGCCAGTTTACACTTAAGACACTGCAGCGGTGTCACTGTAGCGTTTCAGCGAAGACACTACTACACCAACAGGAGAAGTTCTCCTGTTGACATAGCTAATCTACTTCCATGACATGTGGTAGCTACATTGATGGAAGAAGTTCTCCCTTCGACATAGTGCCATCTATACCTGGGGCTAGGTAGGTATAACTGCATTGCTCAGGGTATGGATTTTTCACATCTCTGAGTGATGTAGTTATACTGATGTAAGTGTTTATACTGTAGACCTGGCCCTAAAATAATTGGCTACTAAAGTCCTCTTTTGGCCAGACTGAAATTATGGCATCACAAAGTTGTTGGAGCAATTTGATGAACCAGGCTAAAAAGAAGCCTCTTAGCCCTTACTTAAAACTCCTGTGTGGAAGGGCTTTTTCTTCTGTTCACTGGGCTATGGAAAGGCTGGATATGTTAACTATTCCTCTAGACCAATTGAAATGCTAGTCCACTACCCACATGCAGACCTGTTAACATGTCACACCTTTCAAAGTAATTTGTAATTTACACTTCTTAGGCTAACCGGTGATCATCCTGGTTCATGCCATAAAGTAATTAAGATTTTTGGCTCATCCATCAGCTTTGCAAACTCATACTATGTTTTTGGGGATCCGCTGTCACAAAAGTAGAAGACCCTGAGGCTTTTTAGACCGAGATAGGTTTGGAGAATGGGAGAAATACAATCTGATTGTAATTTAAGCATTGATCTTTTGTCTCCTTCCAGTGCTTATCTCCTCTCACTTCAGAGATATATGGTATGGATTTTAGGTAGGTTTGGAAAGATTAGATTTTTATTGGTAAATGTTAGTAAACATTGACTTCACCATATACACACAAACTGATAAAATATTTCCACGGATCAAAATTTACAGGCAGGCAGAGTAAGAAATGCTGCTTATTAGAGTTTGACTGAAGACTTTTGCTTTGTTTGTTTTGACATGTAATGGCAATTTGTTTTAATGATGCAGGTCATAAGTACCATGAGCCCAAGCGGTTTATCTTTCAAAATGATGCCCTTTTATATGCTCTTCATATAGCAAAGTACAAAAAGGAATTCCAAGAAGGAAGTGTGCAAATTACTTAATAAAAACACAAAATGCTCCATTTCTCCTCGTAATTTCATTTCATTGTGATGTTCTTCTCTGTAACTGTATTATCTCTCCCTCCACAAGAGAGAGCTTTGTTGGAATTTAAACTGTGAGACAGCTCCCTAACACACTAGTCTGCCTCACCAGCAAACTCCTTTAGATGCTACCAGTCTAAAACTTATATTACAGCTAATATACAGTGACTCCCCTTCCTGAGATCCCCAGAGGTATCTCTGCAGTGCCCAGTCCTTCCCCCAAGCACTGATAAAAATTAACCAAGCTTGCTGTATCCAAAGAGACTGAATACACACCAGCCTGTTGGTTCAGCTGGTGGTACACACCTTACTTTAATATAACACCACTGAGATGTTTCTAAGTAAACCTTAGAATAAACATATTAATAAAGAGCATTCATTTAAGTGATACTAAGTAAGGGGGGAAAAAGGACAGGTAGGGTTTATAAACAAAAATAATGTGCTTTCTAGTCATTACAACTTAATTTCAGCAAGTTAGCCTTTGCCTAAGCAGCTTTCTCACTCATTCCAAGCGACCAGCATCTCTAGCCTTTGGGCGGGAGGTTTCACTGTTTACAGAATCCAAGGATAAGGATACTGATCCCTTTGTCCCCTAAGTGATGGATAAATAAGGGGTTCTCTTCCCCCTTCTTTTTATAGCCCAGTAAATCTTTGAAATGTATTATTTTGAAGTGTATCCCCAGATGGGTTTTTTTTTCCTCCTCTGCAGCTTGTGCTCCAGGAAGCTGATGCCATTCTGTCTTCTCATCCTCCTGATAACTGGAGTTTACCTCTGATGCAACTATGCTTTCATTGTCTTTGGCTTACAAAGCTTGACCCAGGCAGACTGGTAAATCCATGCAATGATATTCATGACCAGAATGTCACCAGCTTTCATAAAAGACCTTACTCGGTAAACTTCTATAGCACAATACAATTAGTTGATCCAATTGGTAATTCTTTTGTGTTCGGACCCGTGTTCTCCCTCGGGGGGTGTCTGGTTGTCACAAATGGATACCAGATGAATCAATATCAATGTTAATTTTATTTTTGTCCCACGTTACGATTGGTCTCAAAGCATTATAACATTTTTAGTATGTTTGAGTCATGTCCTTGGTTTTTGTCTTTTGGACAAGTTCTACTAAGTTTTTGTAACTCTAATGTTCTGCAAGGCTTTTAAAACAACCAACGCAACATCAAATCTGACTTAGTATACCTGAATTTCATGACCACTTTCTCCCTTTATAGGGAAACATTCAATATGGCACCTCTTCTCAGTTCATGCACTCTAAAGTATTAATAATCATCCTTGCCCAGCTTTGATTGCACAGTGTGTTAATCCCTCTGTCATCAGAAGGATCTGTGAAATATCTTGGCCAGCTTTAATACAGTACTGTAACATTTAGTATCCTTGAGGGTCACACCTGTAAAGTCCTTAAATCTTTGAGACTACAGTAAATCTTGTCCTTTTTCCCTGAGTGTTTTGTAGTGCTCTGAGACAGAGGAAACCTGGTTTTATGTATAAATACATTTTATAAAAAACATTAAAATATCCTAGAGAGTTTTATTGAAGTGGACACTTACTCGTACTTCCGCTACCATTTTAAAATGCAAGCTGTTTTAAATTCTTTTTTGGAGGGACGGGGGAAACAGTAGCAATACAGGCCTCAATCCTGCAATGAACTCTGTGCTGGTAGACCCCCTGAATTTGCCCAGAGGCCCCTGTGTCTTCAGTCAGGCCTGAGTAGTTTCAGAGATCTCCCCGTGTAGAGCGCGCTCCAGAATTGGGGTTATAGAATGCAGAAGCAGTGTCACATAGGTCAGCATTGTGTGTGTGTGTGTGTGTGTGTGTACAAAATCTATTACAGGCTTGTATGCACATGCACACACAGTAAGCTATTCTCATGGCAAATTTGGGTAAGATGAAAAAATGTAAACTGTTTGGTATATTTTAAAGCATCAGACTAAGAACTTGAAAAATATCTGTTGCCAAAATAGTTGATAAGTAGTCGTCGTCTCTTGCCATCCACATTTTGCTACTTTTCTACTTTCAATAACTCAGATTGCCAAAATCGGAGGCGTATCCAGATTATGCATTTTACACCAATAGCAAAAATTCTAACAGACACAGTATTCTGATTCCATGTTTATAAGTTGTATTTCTAATATTTTAACTTATTGTACTATTTTCTTTCCATGAGTAATCTAGTGAATGAGTTTACTGGCTGAAATTTTAGCAAAACAGCAAATTTTAAGAAGACTATTCAATGAAAACAAATTTTAAATGGACTTTCCTCAAAAATTCACACGGGACTCCTGATTGAAAGAGTTCATCCAATCAGGGGAAATAAATGCTCACTAAGTTCCATGCAACAATTGTATAGCTTGAATTTTGAATACTTACTATTGACAATGAACTGTTTACAAAGGAGCTACAGACCAAGAACTATATAAAGAAATTCTTCAGGAAATAAGTTTGGGTTGGTTTTGGATATTAAGAAAGTGGTTGCCTACTTACAGGCACTTTGCAAACAAGAAAACGTTTATAATGTATCTGAAAAATTTGGTAAGTTAACCTAATTTTACGTTTGTTTTAAATAATTCTGAGGTAAAACAAAATTCAAATAAAACCAGAGAAGTTATTTTTGTCTGCTTTTTTGGTTGCAAGCAACTAAATTAAGTCACATTAAATGTAAGAACATTTGAAAAATCCTTACGCAAGTATAGTTCTACAATACCTGTACTTAGTTTAAACTATTTGCAGCTGAACACTTTAGCTTTCCCTTTTCTGTAATGTTTTATCTGCAGTGATTAACTGTACCAACTCTTCCTCTGTGATCTCTGAATCTTTTGTCCTCATGCCACACACAAAACTCTATGCTGTACTCCATGTCTGCACAAGGGAGACGATAAGTAATTACATTGGTTCATTCCACTACTGTAGTTAAAAGTTTCAGAAAAAGGAAAAGTTTAGTTGAAGCTACTTGGGATGTAACTGGACAGTACCTGTGATATATTGCAGTAATCCCCAGGAAATAAGAAGGTATATACGGTGTCTTATAATGGTTTGACATTTACATTTTATCACTAAAGTGGGTCAGATTTAGGCACTGATGTACTTAATTTGTCTAAGCATTTATCCTGTGTCCATTACTGTAGTATCTGAGAGCCTAATTTATCTTTTTTAGTTGAAAGATTAGCTGATTCCTTTTTAAAATTGCTGCATTTGTTATGACAGTTTTCAACTGCACAATGAAAGTTCTCCCATGTTAAATGGATTAACTATTTAAAATGTAATATCCCATACATGGATGTGAACATTTCAGTATTTTTATCATTACAGACATGACATAAATATAGATTTACCAAATTAAATGCATATTTTAATGTACATAATCTGGGCTTTCCATACACACACACTAAATCACTTTTAGTTTAGTGTTGGAGATCTGTCAAGTACAAAACTTCACAATGAAACTATCCAGTTAATTGTGCACTAATCACAGGTTTTTCCTACCTCCATGCGTGGTTCGGTGTGTCTCTAAATGACATCCTTTCTATGATTGGACTCAAACCAAAACTGAACACACAAATTATACAAGCAATAAAATGAAGAGGAAAAAAAGAACATAAACTATATAAAAAGCAGGAAAGAAACCAAGCTACTCATCCTCCTATACCTCTCAAATTCCCTCCTCAATGTTATCCACTTTCTTTTTGGATTGCCTTTTTTAATTTTCTAATCCAATCTTTTTAAATGTGGATTCAGAATCTGACATTTCATACACAAACTCAGTGATACCTTCAGATACTGGCCTTTAAATATACTCTGAAAAGTGTGTGGGGGCAGGAGGGGTGTTAAAAAATGCAATTGTGGTGGTATGTGCTTACTTCTCAGTTAAGTAAATTAGATAGGGAGTCAATGAGAGACAAAATCAGTTTTTTTACTTTTTTCCTAACTTCCAACACTGCAAATGGAAAACCATGTCTATCCTTTATGGCTGGTACATCACCAGAAGTAAGATAGACTTAACTTAGGGTCACCAGATAGCAAGTGTGAAGAATCGGGACACTTTTTGGGGGGGTATGGGGTGGGGTGGGGGGAAGGTGGTATTTAAAATATAAGTGCACATAGTCCTACAGCACATTGTACTGTATATCAGACAGCCCTCAATTTTCAACACCAGCATTCTCCTACTTCTTGGATGACTTGGCCATATATAGAACGTCCTTTCTGGCAATTTATGTAAGCGTAGAAGCCCTTGCAGCTCATGTTGAAATTCATTTTTATGTGCGGTTTGGACCTCACCTGCTCAATACTGCTTTGATTCCTCAGGTGGGTCCATACACCTTTTCATAATTGAAAATACATGCTCTGTATAAGCATTGCTGACTGGTATACTGAACAGAAATGAAACCACCTCTACACGTTAGGAAGATTAGTACTGTTCCCTTACTACTGAGCACCTGGTCCCAGAGTTCCCAAACAGCTTTTTGCCCCAGCTCCAAGTTCTTGATGATTTCTCAGTCCACAGTACTCTGGAGATTTGTTGTTGCTAGAACTGCAGACAGGTCCCTGAACTCCAACTCCTTCTCTGCTGATATTAAAGCACTGAATGTTGTACAAGAAGCTTCTTGTGCAAAAGTCAAAACCGTTTCTCCAGATAGCCGACAGAAACATCATCAACTTTGGTAAAGTATTTGCGAAGGGCTTCTGTAGGTAGAGGCGTCATTCCAATTAACACATTCTTGACTTTAGAACTGAAGAATTGGTAATTTTTTGTTGTTGCTGTAGCTTCATTCACAGACTGTTCATCCTGGCATACACTTCACATGCAGTGACACTAGCATTTTCCAGGCAGAGCACAGTATCACTGAACACTTGAAGTTTGCCTCTATGTTCTACAGATATGTTCTACTTAAATACTGCTGCTTTCCTGGAGTACTATGCTATGCTCATCCTAGCAAACAGAGACCATAAACTCCATGGACATCTCACTTCCCAGAGATACAAAGTAGCTCTTGACAACTTGCTAAGTGTTAATCTGTTCACAGCTGGGAAAAGACTCAACCAACATGTTGGGACATGACATAGCAAAGCAACATAGTCAGTGTCCACAAACTCAAATGTCCTTCAGTGTGTCCACTCTTAGTAGAACTGATGAAGTGATTAAATGTCTTAATCACTCGTGACTCAGTGTCCACTATTAGAGCATTGCGTCCATGTTTCACTGCATTGTGCACCATGTGATCTGAGCAGTTGGCAGATAAAATATTTTCATTTTCATTTTTCAGGTTCTGGCATACAGATGTCTGCTTGCAGTAATTAACATTTGCAACCCTCAAACCAAAGTCTCTTCCTTTTGCACTGAGAATGCAAGTCTTCGAAGGGCAGTGTTGGTTATTGACTCTGCAGTCTCCCCACTTACTTCATAAAAGTCTAATAATTTATCTTGTAGTCCTAGTTCAGGTGTCCAGTACCTCAGAGAGACGAGAGAGGTATTTACCTTTGAGTCTGTGGCTATTGAGAAGTAGGGTCCTTCTTGAGTAAGAAGAATATCCGCAAACTCCACTGACAGCAGCGATAATACATTTTTAAACAGGGCTTAGGCTTTTCCATGGCCACAACTAATATTTTTCAAAATTGTTGGATCTGGATACAATGTAGGTACAAGCTTCAATTCACAATCACAGGACGAATATGATTGTTGGTACATTACTGTGTGATACACTTGGGTAAGCTCTGCAGCAGCAACATTTCACTGGGCTTGCTAAAGAACTTTGAGACAAGGATATTCTGTTTTGCAATGTGGCAGATTTGCACATGTTGTTTCCCACTGGCATGATGCTTCACCTCTGACTCGCTGCCATGATTGATGCTGAATTTTTAAAAACAATTTACAGAATGCCTTTGTAACAATAATATGATTGACTAATCAAGTTGTAATGTTTTTGCCACTCCATTTGGTATTTTCGCTTTTTTTAGTCATGGTTCGTCAGCAACACTAGCCATCATGACGCTTCGTGTTGAAGTCTTCGCCAGTAAAACTATGTGGAAGCACACACATGTTCACACACACATGCACTAAAAATTGTGACACATCCTGCATCATATGACTGAGGTTAATATGATTGGATAGCAGCGCAGATGCATTGCCACAGTAAAGCAAACAACATGCCCAAAACAAGTACAGTGCAGCAGCACCACATACAGAATTTCCCAACGAGAAAGTCAAAATTTCCCATCTGACACACTGTTTAGACAAATGACATCCCACAGTACCATGAACTGCTCCTAATATGATCCTGATATTATCTGGATGTCTGATCACCCTAATTCAAGTGCTGGAACTTAATTCACAATAGGCTGTGACTTGTTTGGGATCCGTGTCTTGATTAGGCAAGCTAAGGTTGTACCACTGGGTCAGTTATTAAAGGAGATAGATGTCTTCAGGAGAACACTAAAACAAGTGGTGGTTAGGCCTATATAAAAGAACCTAATTATGGATGCTGATAGTCTTGTCACTGACTTGTAATACTCTGGGGGGGATGAGGATCCTCTGGCTGCCCAGTTTATTCAGACTATGGAACCTCACTCTCTAAATCTTTAATTCATGTGGAAAGCAAACTGGCAAAGTAACTCCATGCTCTTGGGTACCTCCTGTGGCTTGTGAACACACAACTGTGCATGGTGTGGTTTCCCCCCCTCCCTCCCAAGGGCAGAGATTTTCTTGTCTTATTCACTCAGCTTGTTTCCCAGCACTAGCAGTCAAATCCAAATTATTGTGTCTGCACAAAATATCAAGAGAAGAAACATGAACAAAAAATAAAACATTTTAAACACCATCTTGTCTTGTCACTTGTTGTGAAAAGCCACACGAGGAAATAGTTAAATATTGAAGGTAAAGATGATAGTCTTAAATATCCATTGCACATTATGTTCTGGCTTTCTCAGCAGAGGGCTCACAAACTTTGCCAATCTCATCTTTATGCCTAATAGCCTATCACAGTATCTTAGTTTCAGAGTGCCAGTGAATTTTGCAGAACATTAATATGAGCCTGTCCTTCCACTCTCCCTCAGTTTGAATATGTTTATATCACCTTTGGGTTGAGGTGTCAAAATTCCTTGTTATGGCCCCTCTTCTGCGAGGTACTTAAGCACATGCCTAACTTAAAGCACGTGAATAGCCCTGTTTGAAGTCATTGAGAATAATTGAGTTTAAAATTCGTCATATTCTTTAGTACCTTGCTCGGTTGGGGCTTAAGACATCACTCCATCTCAGATATCAATATACCTATAACCCACTTTTACAGATGTATCTGTCTTACAACATATTTAATTGAGTTCAGCCTTTTAATTGCCTTTTGCTTGGAACTGTTTGGTCATTTCAAAGGTATTTCTTAATCTGAAGTTATGCAACTTTGTGAGGCAGGTGAGTGGTATTTGTATAAATACCTTTTGAGTTAGCCAGTTCTTTTAGTTTCCTAATGGGCTCTCACTCATTATTCTTTTAACAGAAAACCCTGCAATGTCTTTGCTAAATGACAAAGATAAAGTTATACATCAAATTAAACTTAATATAGAGGTATTTGTCTCAAATCTTAGTGTTATGTTAACAATAAGCCTTTGAAAATTCAATTTGATTTTATTGGCATGGAAATTATAATGGTGGTTCTCTGTAACTATAATATATTGATTGTGTTGGCATTCAATTTTCCAATGAACCTTGTCACAGTTCTGGGCAGCTGCATTTTTATTTTTCCTCAGTGTTCCAGCCAGGGCACTCAGTCTCAGGCTTCCATCTCCCAACCGTTTCCTCTCTTGGGCGGAGACCTGCATCTTACTCCCTGCTGACCAGGATAGGTCCAAAACAGTTTTCTGCCTTCATTGTGTTACTCCCAGCAAAGACTGTCTGCCTAGCCAGACCTGCTTGCTTTCTTTTCAGAGACTAATAACTGAGTGATTGTACAGATGTTACCACACAGTTCCCCCCTAAGGAAGCACACTTTATTCTTAAAGTAAAAAGCGTTAGAGAGAGAGCATATAAAAGAATTTATATGCATGCTAATAAGCTTACCAGAGTTAATCCCGATTCTAACATGTTCTCTGACAAGAACCAGTCTTTTTCTGCATCCCACCCTGAGGTTTCCTTGTGATTATGAGTTCTTCAGCTGAGAACAAGCAGACCCATAAGTTTAGTCTACCTCTTCAGACAGATCAGGGGCCTCTCTCTCCCAAGATTTATCTTTGAAGGGTTGGATCACATGGAAGAATTTGCATTATGCTCCCTTTAAGGTACTGCTTAGGAAATCCACTTCATGCACACATTGTTCCAAAAAGACCTTTGAACTTCATCATACCTTCCAGAGACTGCATTAATGTCTTCCTGCTAAAGAAGTTCCATGCAATCTCACAATAGTACTTAAACATATTCGTATTTCTAATACAATGTACCCCACAGGTATTAACCCTAATTCAATAATGTGTAACTTAATTCAGTAAAGTTCATTGACAATATCCTGAACATGGAACAAACCCTATTATATAGAGGTTTATAAGTAAGCAATAAAAGTGTCTGCTGGATTGAAACTTAGCATTCTAGGTATGACCTGACTTATTTGTGGGGGGAGGGGGTTTGTTTAACTTTGCACCACCAGTTTACAACTTTATCTCGGGTAAGCCATTTGAAATACCAGCACATCAGTGAGGAAGTGAGGATTCCTATATTCTATTCCCAGTTGTGGTGGTATGTGTTTCCATAAAATGGATATACTGCTTGTCTCATAGGGATTGTGTGGCTTTATTCATGTTTGTAAAGAGCTTTAAATTTTTCTGCTGGAATTCACTATGTAAATGCTAAGTGTGGGGTGGTGAACCCTGAGTCTTTCAAAAGTAAGCCTTCCAAAAAGGCCAAGTACAACCGCAGTCTCTGTGCTGGGTTGCACATTAGTCAGGGTTACACATTAATTGTACAGTTGAACCTTGAGTTTGAAGGGCTAATTGGGTAAAGGGTCTTTGCCCTGCTAATGCACCAAACTCCAACATCAAATTTCCATAAATAATAAGGTTTTGGGGTAGTGTGCTATAGTTGGAGTGGATAGCTTTGGTAAGGGGATTGAAAGCTGGGATCTCTAAAAGAGTAGCATTATGTAGAACACAGACCATAGTCCTTGTGATCCCAGTAAGTTGTAAGTGGTTGGATGAGCAGAGGCAGCTCAGGGTTTTTTTTCCCCTTGCTTTTGTAATTTTGGATCTGGTATGGTGTATGTGTGTGTAGCAACCTTAAATGACCCTCAATTGAGCTTTCTATGTATTATATACAAAAAAAGATGTTATAAGAATATTAAGCATGCAAAGTCCAGCACTCAAGTTACTTACTGTCATTAAGACTGTGTCTTATGCATATGCATGAGAGGGCCAAATAAACTCTGTATAGGAAATCTTGATTCTGGCATTTCCTAGCTTCTGAGTGCTTGTCTTGATAACCTTCATGTTCTTTTTAAACTATCTTTAATGTAATTTCTGAAGTTTTAAAAAAGCAACATGAAACAAACAGAGATTCTGCAGGTGGAACCACATTAACTCCTGGATTGGGTTGTGAGTCATGTACCGCTCGTGGTACATGTACCACTGTTTGGGAAGCCCTACTCTAGAGGTGACAGATTATTCGGCTTCTGTCACCATGCAGTCTTCTGCCAACCTGACTGCCCTCTCGCCCCCTCCCCCCGGCCTCTTCCCTTCTGTCCATATACCTGTCTGTTCCACACCTATCTGTGTTCTCCTCTAATCCTGTCATTTCCACTTGTGTCTCTCTTTTTGAGTCGTCTTGCCTCTGTGTCAGTCAGGTGGCATCCTCCTTCCTTCACATAGGCTGCTGTCAGTTCCAGTGCCACAAAATCCTCAGCAGATGGGAACAGAATTACAGAAAAAGTCCTACTTGGCCCTTATAATCCTAGGTTGCAGAATGTTTAGAGGGGATAGAACTTTTGGAGAATTTAGTTGTCAGCTTCTATCAACCCTCTGCTGAGCATATGCAATTTTCAGAGGCTTAAAACTCGGGTGAACTTGAGCATGTACAGCCATTTTATGTCTCTGATTTCGGACAATCCCCTGCCAAATTCCATGTCCCTGCTCGGAAACATGCAGACACTAGAGCTTTTCAACCAAATTTTTGTGAGTATATTTTAATATGGCCAACAACTTCTTTCCCTTAACATTTTTTTGAAAATGGTTAAAACATTTTTACCGAACCTTTCCAAAACATTTTGATTTGACCTAAGGCAGACACCTGGGATGGAAAACTTCAGCCTAAATGGTTCAAGTGATAAGTAGGGCTTTTGATTTTAGGTTGTAATTGATAAACAGTGATAAAACACACCCAATATCTTGTATTCTCCCCCAACCCCCCACAAAAGTGGAGAGGGGGAGAAAATGGTGTTTATCTAATAAACCCCAGATAAACACTGGGAATGGTTACTTGTATCTAAGGGCTTTTGTCTACAAGGCGCAGTAATGTGACTAAAAAGGATGTGATTTCTAAAGCATACGAGCATGTTGCATGTTAATTTGTCTATATAGTATGCACTGAAAGTTCTCTAATAATTTTAATATAGTGCTGTTTGAAACAGTACTATGTTAAGGCACGCTATGGAATATTAGAGTACTCATTACAGTGTATCAGAGACAGCAGCAACAACAAAGAGTTTTTGGACATGTGCATAAAACTCAAAAATTGCTAAAAATATCTTCCCAATGAAATTAATAAATCATGAAAAACTCAAACCCTACTATATGCAACTGAAAACAGGATCTTATAATGGGAAGATTTAGGTAAACTTAACTCTAGATGTCACACACCCAACTCTGCCTGTAAGATTGAGTACACGTACGCAGTATATGTACTGCGTGGTATATGAATTAACACCAAAATCTGTGTGTCAGTCAATATACATGAAATTAAGGACTTGCCTACACTTGCGGCATTCTGTAGGGTATGTGTAGCTACCTTGTTGCCCGCTGTCAGAACCTTTCATTAGGGTGAGGAAAGGCTCCAGTAGCGTAGAGGCAGCAGGAAAGGGTCCAGCAGCAGGACGTTATGTTGCTAAAAGTAGTAGTGTGAATGTGGGAGGCACTGCTTGGCCATGTGTATGCTCTAGAGTTCTGGAATGTTTCTACTCTACATGCCTAAGCAGTGTCTCACTATCTACACTGCTATTTGTACCCATGCTAGCTGGGTGTGCCGTGTCTGTCTACTGTACATACCGTCGTAAGTGTAGATGTTCCTATAATCATAATCAAAAGTAAAACTCTCTAAATGGATCTGAAATTTAAAAAAAAAATCACCATGGCGTAATGGACTTTATGGTCGCTTATTTGCTAATGTTTTCCATCAGATAACATTTATTTATTATTACTTTCTTATTAAATAAACAGGCCCATTCCTTTTTTTGAGAAGTAAACAGATGGAATACTTTTTTTTTTAACAGAAAATGTTTTCAAGCCCAGTTAAGTTACTAGCATGCCTTAAAAATAGTCAATTTCCTCTTTGCTATGGCATTCCCCATTCAATACAGCTAGTAAGTTTGTTTCATGTACTCTACATCTTTTTGATTTGATATTATTTTTCCCTACACTTGGGAGGAATTCAGCAGCAGAAAACTATAAGCTAAACCCGCCTCCCCCCCCCCCAACACAAAGTGTTCTATAAATTAGTTGGTGGAATATAAATGAATTAGTTTCACAGCCTTTTGCACAGTTATTTTATGAACAGTGTAAGGTTTAAACGTATAATGTATCTATTGACTGCATTGGTTTATTAGCAATATTTTATCATTCCTTTTGTTCCGTAGTGTAAGTAGTAAAAATAATCTTAAAACCCCTCATGTTAAGCAACTCCCTACATTTACAGTAGCTGATATGGTTCATTAAGGCATATTTGGTGTTTAACGCCCCCATTTTATGTTACTGACTCAAACTAGTGCTTTAAAATGTTTTGAGTTTTTAGACCTCTCTATATATAATTTCTGGATGTTCACTGAAGACAAGTGGAGTGATATTGCCCCCAGCAGGGAAATCAAAGAACACAATTCCACTCTATGCATTTATCTAAAAATGAATGCATAGTGCTGATTTCAGAGAATGTACACTAGCAGAAAGTAATTTTTCAGGATTCGATGGAAGAAATTTATCAACAATTAAACTACAGTCAGTCATTATAATATATCAATCTACTTGTTGGCTAAATCTTGCTAAAAATTTAAAATTTAGTTTAAAAATAAGGGCAACTGGCTCACTTAAGTTGGAATACCAACAAGAGCTTGTTGTTTTGCAGTCTAAAACGTACGCTTTTTTTTTTAAACATCAGTTGAATAGATTTTTTTTTAAGACCCAGTTCCTTTCTTTATTTGTCCATAAATAAACATACTACCATGTATGCAGGAGGCTGGGATCTTTTCTAGATGAATTTAAAAAACTCTAAGAGTGTGTGTGTGTATATATATATATATATTATACATAAACATATAAAAAAGCCTGTGTCTTCATTTAAAAGAAAATTATATTCAAAACGACTGTTCATGGAATAGAATTTAGTAAAGTTCTGTGGAGATAATTATCAATTATTTTTCTATTTTATAATTGCTTAATATACACTAATTTGTTTGTACAAATTTTTATCCGTTCATTATATTGCATAATAAATAGTGGTATTTTATTTTATGTAGCCTGTACTATGATATTGCTCAAAATATTATGCCATTACTACAAGTGATAATTTTAAAATGTATGATGCATGGCATGATTACCAGTCTTTTTTTATACATTTTGCAACAGAAATGCTATTTTACAGCATTTTACAGTTTTATTCTTCCTTTAAAAAAAAATCTTCATGTCTACACAGAGAATTCTGAGCATCTCAATGGTTGCAGTGGGGCATAATTTATATATGGTTGACATTTAATATGAAATGTTGTTACAGAAAATGTCAGAAAGTGTCTAAGTAAAGACATCTGTGAGGAAAAACATAAGAATGGCCATACTGAGTCAGACCAAAGGTCCATCAAACCCAGTATCCTGTCTTCTGACAGTGGCCAATGCCAGGTGCCCCAGAGGGAATGACCAGAACAGGTAATCAAGTGATCCGTCCTCTGTTGCTCATTCCCACCTTCTGGCAAACAGAGGCTAGGGACACCTTCCTTTCC